TATATATATATATATATATATATAGGTCACCGTCTTTTAATCTAACAAATTCAGCCATGCAAAATCCAACCTGGACCGCTCCCCTAGACATTTCTGTTAATTACCGGGTCAAATCACCCTCCGTTCCCAAAGAAAACAACAGCAACAGATTAAGCCTAACGTACATCCCGGCATCCTCTCCTCTCCTCTCCTCTCCCATGCTTCCATGGCCAGCATTCCTCGCATCTTCCTCCTACTCTTCTTCCTCCATCCACCCCTCTCCTCCTCCCTCTCCGACCTCGATGCCCTCCTCCTGCTCAAAACCTCTTTCCTCAACCCTAACCCCGCCCTCTCCTCCTGGTCCCACTCCACCGTCGCAGCCTCCCGCGACGAATCTCCCCCCTCCCCCTGCACAGCCTCCTGGATCGGCGTCTTGTGCTTCGGTGGAATCATCACAGGTCTCCGCCTCGGAGGTCTCGGCCTCCAAGGCACCATCAATGTCGAAGCTCTCTCCCACTTCCGTTCCCTCCGCACCGTCAGTTTCATCAACAACAACTTGTCCGGACCATTGCCGAATATCGGCCGCCTCGACGCCCTTAAATCGGTCTATCTTTCAAATAACCGTTTCTCTGGTCCGATCAACGATTCTCTGTTCTTATCGATGGATCACCTCAAGAAGCTATGGCTGGATGGAAATGATCTTTCTGGGAAGATTCCGTCGTCTCTCTCCAAGGTTTCCAAGCTCATGGAGCTGCATTTGGAAGGGAATGGTTTCACCGGCCCCATACCTGCGCTGCAGCTTCCGTCTCTCAGCTCCTTTAATGTCTCCAATAATGATTTGCAGGTAGGATTCATGCTTTTCTTTTGTCTTTCTTGTTTGTTCTGCACATGATCAAGGGTTAGTCGGGTTAAGTTCGTCTTATTTGATGCATGAAACTGCATATAGATTATAGATCTATAAACTCTTTTTGTTTATTTTTTTAAAGGCTAATTCTGATCAGCAGATGAAAATCAACACAGCTGAACCTAGCTCAGACTGCATTATTTTATTTTTGGGTGATTCGATTTACTGCTTGTTTGTATGTTGGGAATTTAAGCAAAATAATAATAAAAAAAAAAGTTGAAAAGCGCAATGTAATGATTGTTCATTCTAATTAAGACGAAACTTCTTCAATCAATTAGAAGTAGATAATCTTGAAGCACCCAAAATCAACAAAGAGAGCAGTGAAAATTAATTTGTCTTCGATCATTTGCTTAATATTATGGATGAATAGAAAGATCTAAAAAAAAAAAAAAAAAAAAAGAAAACTGGCATCCTCAGTTTTAAACTATAATTGTCTTTCTTCCTGAACTTGCAGGGACCTATTCCCACCTCGCTGTCCCGCTTCGGCTCCAGTGCTTTTGCCGGCAACCCAAGGCTCTGTGGACCACCACTCACCAGACATCCTTGTCCCCTTGCAACAACACGAGTAGAAGCAATCGGACCACCAACTCCAGCGATTTCAAACAGCTCCAACTCCGGCCAACTCGTTCTCCTCATCCTCGGCATTGTCCTCGTCTTCCTCGCTCTGGTCATCGGCTACGCTGCCGTCAAAACGCGCAGCCGAGAAAAATACGGCGATTCGTTCATGGACCACCCAGACACAGCATCCGTTAATGAAGCCATGGAAGCAGCAGCCTCTGCTTCCCCGGTGCAGTTACCCACCACTGTCAGTTCTCGGCGAAGTAGGAAGCGCGGCGGTTCAAACAAGGGAAATGGCGGCAGCTCGAGCAGGCAGGAGAGTGGTGGCAGCTCGAGCAGGCAGGAGAGTGGCGGCAGCTCGGCGTTGGTGATGGTGAATGAAGAAAAGGGTGTTTTTGGGTTGCCGGATTTGATGATGGCGGCAGCGGAGGTGGTTGGGAACGGAGGGCTGGGTTCTGTGTATAAGGCAGCGATGGCGAATGGGGTGGAGGTTGCGGTGAAGAGGATGAGGGATCTGAACAGGTTGAACAAGGATGGATTTGATATGGAGATGAGGAGATTAGGGAAGTTGCGGCATCCAAATTTATTGCCGCCGCTTGCCTACCATTTTCGGAAGGATGAGAAGCTGGTGGTCTCTGAGTATATTGCAAAGGGAAGCCTTCTATATGTCCTCCATGGTAAGCTTGCTCCATGCTCTAATTCAATTTTCATTTCCATAAATGTATGTATATATGTATGTATGTATATAGACACACACACACCTAGGTGTAGAGAAGGGTCTCGATGAGACCTGGATAGGGCTGATAACGATGGTCTCGATGATGGGTCTCGATGAGACCTGGATAGGGCTGATAACGATATGATTTCGAGCTGAGGTCGCCTAAACAAAAATCGATCAAAAAATTTGACTCATAGTTCGGCTCGTTTATTTCAATCTGATCTCAATCCAAGCCAAAATTCAAATCAATTTTCAAAAGACCAAAATTTATCGAGCTAAATTTATTAAATTCACGACACCAATATTATTAGAATTATTTATGATCTAATTTCAAGTCAGGGTGAAAAAAATTTAATTCAAAATTTTGGCTCGTGGTTTAGCTTGTTTATTTCGATTCGATATCAATCGGAACCAAAAATTGAATTAATTTTCAAGGGATTAAAAATCTTCGAGCTAAATTCACAACCTAAGTGCAGAAAAGGCCCCCATGAGGGGAAAAAAATATTATGTCCGGACTCCGGATGCAAAGCTGAGACCGAATTACAATAAAATCTTGCCACGTGTCATCATGTGTAAGCCGCGGTCTCGCTGAATAAAAAACAAAAAAACGTTTTTTTTAATGAGTGACCCGATACTAACTAACCCATTACTTCGAAGTTCTTTTGCAGTTTTTTTTTGGAGTTATTATGATGTTATTGAAGTTTATTGTGATGTTATTTAAATGGTATTCCAGCGGTTGTGTAAACAATGGTCTCACTGAATGAAAAATAAAAAAAACGTTTTATTTTAATGCGTGACCCGATCGGAATGAACCTATTGATTCGAAGTTCTTTTGCAATTTGTATTCCAGCGGTTGTGTAAACAATGGTCTCATTGAATGAAAAATAAAAAAACGTTTTATTTTAATGCGTGACCCGATCTGAATGAACCTATTGATTCGAAGTTCTTTTGCAATT